CACATACAAACGCTGCTTCCCCACACACCCATCCTGCTGTCTATAGTCTTCCCCATCTCTCTCAGTTGCTCAGGCCAAAAACCTTGGAGTCATCCTTGATTTTTCTCTTTCACATCGCACATCCAACCAATCAGCAAATCTTCCCGGCTCTGCCTTCAAAATATATCTGGAATCCATCTACTTCTTGCTAGACTCCTGGTTCAAGGCTTGAGCACCTCTCCTAAAGTTGTCTTAGCTTCCATCCTTGGCTCCCACCCTTGTTCTGTTCTTCTTCTTCTTCTTTTTTTTTTTTTTAAGATTTATTCATTTATTTGAGAGGGAGAGAGAGAGAGAGAGCATGTGTGAGCAGGGGAAGAGGCATAGGGAGAGGGAGAGAGAATCTCAAGCAGACTCCCTGCTGAGCCCAGAGCCCAATGTGGGTCTTGAACTCATGACCCTGAGATCATGACCTGAGCCGAAACCGAGAGTCGGATGCTTAACCTACTGAGCCACCCAGAAGTCCCATCATTCTATTTTTAATACAGCTGAAGTGATTCTATGAAAACATAGGTCAGATGCTGTCATTCCTTTGTCTAGAACCCTCAGTGGCTTTCCATCTCACTCAGAGTAAAAGCCAAAGATCTTCAAATGGCTACCAGGTGCTACATGATTTACCTCCTTCCTGCCTCTCTGAGCCTGTTATTCCCCCCTGGCTCCTGCCACCCCAGCCACAGGCCTCTTCACTGCTCCGTGAGCACACCAGGCATGCTTCTGCCACAGGGCCTTTGCACTTCTCTTTCCTCCGCCTGGAATAATTCCTCCAGCGATTGCATGGCTTACTCCCATGTTTCCTTCAGGCCTTTAGTCACCTCCTCAGGGACACCCTCCCTGATTTCTCTATTTAAAAGTATAATCCTTTATACTCTGTCCCTAATTTATTGTCAGCAAACAAACCAGATGTCTTATTTATATATGCGTTTGTATCTTTTTCCCTCACTAGGATGTCAGCTCCCTGAGGGCGTGGGATCTTGTCTGTTTTGTTCAGTGCTGTGTTCCCAGTGCATAGCATCCTGCCCACAACTATCGAAGGAGTAGATGATCCCATAGAAACACATTAACTACCCTTGTCACTAGACCCCATTCTTTTCAAACAGAGTGTTTTACAAAATCCTTCTCTCCCCTCCCACCCCTCCTTTTTAAATATGCTCCACGCCCAGTGTGGAGCCCAAGGTGGGGCTTGAACTCACGAGCCTGAGATCAAGACCAAAGCCGAAATCAAGAGTCAGATGCTTAACTGACTGAACCACCCAGGTGCCCCTAGATTCTTCTCTTTCTAACAGGAGGATTCTAGAACTTATTTTTAGTTCCAGGCGCTGGCTAATTATCAAAATGTAGATGTGATCTCCTGTCTCTACCACCCCCTCCCTTTATCTCCGAGGAGCCTGTATTCTTGCCCGGGAGAAGCCCCTTTTAATGTTCTCAGTCAAGGCAGGCGCCTGTCTCCCCCACACCTTAGCTTGTCCAAGCTTTCTTGCCCAGACATACAGACAGAAGTTTCCTTAAACGGAAGAGCTGTGTTTGCTCTGAAGCCTGACCTTCTCATTGACTTTTTGTAATCTGGGATGAAAATCTTCGTCCCCGCCATCTTCCAAACATGTTTGGTAGAAAAGAATGGTAGTAAGGCTAAGCACTGTTCCCGCATAACTGTACACAGCGTTTATACCAAAGAGCTTGTTGGAAAGGATTCAAACTGCACACTGTATCAAGCCAAAATACAACGATATTTTTAACGATGCAGTAGAAGCAACTCCATGGAAATGGTTTGGATGTGGAAAAGAAAAACTCTCATTTATGAAAGATCTTTTGTGAGATCTTACGGATGTCATTTACTTTTCTGCTCCTGGGCCCACCCTTCAGTGACATTCTGAGGGAGCCAGGATCTTGGCCCCGTGTGTTGGGGTCCTCTGGGAGCACCAGAGGGCCAGAGGGCTACAGGGAGCAGGGAGCACCTGGGGGGTGGGAAGGGGATGAGGGAGGGCAGCCAGACTCTGATGCCACAGACGTGGGGTGGGTGACAACCTCCAGCTCTAGCCTTCTGGCTGAGTGATCTGGGCTCCTCGACTGCTCACCCATGCTCTAGGGTCCTTCCCTGTGTGTGGTCAGAAGAGCACCTGCCCCGCCGAGTCACTGGGGCTACGGGGCTGTGCTCAGTTGCTTGAGTCCTGTCAGTCAGTCAGGATGTACTGAACACTGACCATGGGCCCTTCCCTTCATGCCTGAAAACACACACAGCACTAAAAGGGAATCCTGAAAATGATGTAAATTCCACCAGATAACTGAAGGGCCATCCTTCCCTATTAACCTGCTTTAAAAAAGAACAATTGACATGTATTTAATAAAAAGTTATAGTATGTAATGCATACATTTCTTTTTTTTTCTTTTTCTTTTTTGAAGACTGGTTAGTTCTCCTCAGCCCCCCAGGTGGTGTTCTGGCAGGACCTGGGGGCTTGGGCCGGGTGTGTCCGGCCGACCACAGGTGAGTCACCAGCTAACCACAGGTGAGTCATCAGGTCTCCGTGAAGTTGGTGGGGCTGGATCAGGCTGGCGTGGAAAACTGCCTCCAGAGGCCGAATCCTAGAGAGCGGTTCTAGGGAGAGGCCCGGAGAATGGTAGGAAAAAGGCCGTCTTGACAGCAGGGTGTGTTCCTTTTGGGTTGATTTCTACATTTCCACTTGGGGGCAGGGGGCGGGGGAGGATGGGGG